ATCAGCACATTGAATCATTTCAGCATCATCATCATTGTTTTTGTTGTCATCAACATCATCACCATCAACATTATCATCATCACCATCTCATCATTATCATCATCCTCAACATCATCCTCATATAGTCCATTTCCTGTCTCTTATACACATCATACGTAGTCCTATTTGATTTGAAAAGCTAATGAAACAAATACCATGTCTTATTCAATTGCAAACTAATAAAAAATAAAGTACAAGTTTACTTACATTCAGGTGTTGTTATTTCGTGGCTTTGTGCAAATTGATTGCAAGCATATCCAAGAAGCAGTCCTAACAATTGTTTGATATGAAGGTGGAATATAGTCATTGCACTGTAATTCACGTCACTCTTTCCTTGTTTCTCAAATTCTGTAGAAGCTATACAAGTAATTGGCACATAACAGTTCGTATTCTACTGATTCAATCTTCATTTTGCTGATTATTTATATAGCTAAGATGGAAAGTCTTGGTGATCATGACCTTATTTCACGTTTCATGTGTCGAACTCTAAAATTCTACATCAAAGGGATCAGTAAAGAAAGGTCGTTCTTAATCTAATTTTGTTGTATATATATATTTTTGTTTATAACAAATTAATTATAAAATTAGGTTCCTTGAACTTACAGAAATGTATACTATGTGCTGTCTCTTATACACATCTAGATGTGTATAAGAGACAAATTTAATAGTGAGCAAACGTTTTCGGTTATCAACCTTTGTCAAGCTGAATAATATATATATATATATATATCAGTCGATCGATCCCTGTCCTATGTATTTTACAGAAAAATAATACCATTATACACTGTTTGGATCTGCGTGTCAATGAAAAACAACCTATTTTCCCCTCACGTTTTCGATAATTTCAATTCAAATCCTATAGCTTTTCGTTAATATATAAACTCTTTATACGAAAATTTACACAGCGTTTTTTTAGTATTTATTTTAATTAACTAAGGACATAAGTGCATAAAAAAAACAACAGTTATTGTAGATAAATATACGGTATTAAATATAGAGGGTGGGTAGAGAATGAATTGGCAACAAATAGAAAAGAATATAGAAGTGTATGATAAACAGTATATACGGTCGTATATATTTGTTCATGTGATAGACCTACATCATGTCCTTTTTTGTATTTTTTTTACCCTATTCGCTAGAAAATTATTACTTACTTTATCATATTGATATAGGCATATAGTTCTAATATCATAATGATTTTAATAAGGAATAATTATAATACACTTCATAAATAAGAAAAACACCACAATGCTGTACCAAGAGTGGCTTAGTTGAATTTTTTTAGGAAACCATGTACACTTGATAAGACCATAGAGGCAAGGTCAACCTTTGCTGTCAGACACGAGCACCTTAATAGGACACGATTAATGACCACTGGTACAAATTTTTATTCCCATCTTGGCCACCACTGAGCTTGTAAATTGTCTAATGGTAGATACAAAAATTGTTTATCATTTACACACTTCTCTATTCTTTTCTATTTGTTGCCAATTCATTCCCTACCCACCCTCTATATTTAATATGTTTATCTACAGTAACTGTTGTAATGTCTTCTGTTGCCTTTTTTATGCACTTGATATCCCACTTAACTACCATAGTAAATTAAAATATATACTAACAAATATTGGCGCTGTGTAAATTTCGTATAAAGAGGTTATATATTTATGAAATACTATATGATTTAAATTCAAATTATCGAAAGCGTGAGGGAAACATAGGTCGCTAATTTGAAACTTAGGTCCGTGCAGTGACTTTTCATTTTATCTTGTATTATTTAATTATTCGATCGCCTGACTATATGATGAATTTTATTATTATTATTATTATTATTATTATTATTATTATTATTATTATTATTATATATATATATGTGTGTATATATATATATGTATATACATTATATACACTATACTATATATATTATTATATATATACTTTTATAATACTATATATATACATATATAATATATATATATATAATAATAATAATAATAATAATAAAATTCATCATATAGTCAGGCGATCGAAGAGATATATATATTCTAGCAATAGTTGTGGACTAGTGCATGGGTTGTCACTCAATAACAATTCGTATACCTTCCATAATCTAAATTTCTTTCTCCCGAGTTTCACATTTTTTTAACTTTACGATACGTTATGAAAAAATATCAAATAACCATGAAATAACAAGCCTTAAAACGAGGCTCCTTGAACTTTTTGGATTTTGTTTTGAAGGACATGTGATTTAAGAAACCTTCGGAAAGTTTCATTGTACTCCAAAATATCTAAGGATTACAGAAATAAAAACCCAAATACAAATGCTGTTTTCGTGGTCTAAGATTTTAACGATTTTAAAATATCTTAGAGGAAACCCGTTTTGTTAGTAAACATTCCTTTTATCTCTTAATTTATAACTTGGAGAATCCTTAGTGCTATTCTAGTATATGAAACTTATTATCAGGTGCTCGTTACCATCGTCATCGCCATTATCATCATTATAAATAATAATAATAATAATAATAATAATAATAATAATAATAATAATAATAATAATATCATCATCATCATCATCATCATCATCATCAACTGTACTGCAAATGAAATTCGTCATTACAGTAGCGTAATAACACACACACAGTTACCAAAGAAACACTGTTATATTTAAACTGGTTTAAATGAGCAGAAAATGTAATAAATATTCCACAGTTTATACAGCAAAATTGTTTTTATTAAACTTTTGCAATATATCTAATATATCAATTATCATCTATGTCTAAAAGATAATTATAAATCTGACGATGTGTAGACGACAATAAATTGGAAAGGTCTTTGCAGAATGTGATATCATCAGCAACAGGTACTGACAATAGTAGCAATTATTATTGTCTTAAGAATTATCATAAGAAATAAACCGGTTATGAAACAGGTATTCTTTGGCTTCAACGCATTTCTAATTTTATACACAAACATTTTTATAACACTAATCGGAAGTATCATTGATGAGTAAAACGAAGACAACGATTGTTACATTCACTAATATTAAATTGCGTATTATACTATTGTATAATGTAAATTAAAAGGCAAAATACTGACAAACAACAATGCTGTGACAAAAAAGCTGGATCTCTGTTGAGATACACATTTAATAAACAACAGTTAATTGTAATCGTAGATAAACAGCCAGTAAAGAAAAACAAGCTTTCAGGCAACACTCCTTGGTGATAATCAAAATACTATATGTCCACGTATGCTTCAGTATGTATAAAATCAGTATATAAAAAAGAAACAACATTATTCAGAAGGTGACTACTTCTTTGAATCATATATGTTATTAAAAAAAATCATCCGCTTCCTTTTTGTCATGCCTGCATCTACCTCTAGGGGCCACTATCCCGATTACCGCCTCTGAGCACCCGTTCGTCTGTGGCAAAGCAGATGTGTTTCCCGTTCCTTTGTTCGAGCCACCTAGTTAGAGGTTCGGGAACGCGACAGAGTGGAGATGGATGGATGACCCTTTAAGATCTTGCACTTATTTTGCCTGTTCTCTGTAGTTAAGTTGACAATTAATTGTATATTTAAGATTTTTAAAAAAAAGTAATTAAATAAATAAAAAGAGAATTTATATAAAATGAAATAACCTTTATAAATACAATAAATGAAATGCAGAAAAGACTGTTTCTATTTACAAGTGGAAATGGCACCACGAGCAGCTCTCTTAGATGGATATGTGCGCCTTACAAGATGCCATTATTATTAATATTACAGTATTATTAAAATTTTCTGGTGCACCTGCTTCAATCTATGATTCACAGTAGTCACCTTCTGAAGAGTGTTATTTCTTTTGTGTCTAATTTTACACACTCACACACACTATTATGCTATGGATATAATGATTTTGCTGTAGTGATGTTTATAAATGTTTATTATAGTAATTATGATATGATATGTTTAAATTGTCAATATTACCATCATAGACCTATATATAGAGAGGTTATATAAAATTCTAAGTAATATATTATTCAAATATAAAAGTATAAACTTTCATATAAAAATATATTATGGTTCTCTTATACGATACATCAAACCTCCTACTTACAGCATGAATTACAACATACTTTACATTTGGAATCTGTAGTGTATTGTACAATAGTACAAAGATCAACTGTACTCTAAACACATTTATAATATAATTTATAAAAAAGGCCTTTAAAAAAAGGCCTGTTTATACTTGCAACGATAACAATAACGATAAAAAGCTGAAAAGCAATTGTTCCTATGGAAAATAAAAGAAATAAGAGAAATTTCACACTAGCATGATTCGATAACGATTTGTCATGTATACGATAAAAAATAATTTCCCAAATCAAATCAAATGACGTAAATAATCATCATATGATTATGACGTCAATTGAATTGATTTGTCAAAATAAATTATGTTGTTAATGTATACCCAATAAATCGTTGTCAAACTGTCCTAGTGTACAAATTTCTTTTATTTATTTTATTTTCTATAATGAATAATTGCTTTTCAGCTTTTTATCATTATCGTTGCAAATTTGATCAGGCCTTTATATTTTGTTAAACTGTCTTGCTTTTTATTGCTGTCGAGCTTTAATGTGGAATGCATTTGTTCTGCTAAATTTTTACAAAGATTTTAGATGGGAGAGGAGATGCAATTTTACTGGATTAATACTGATTTCTGTCTTGTTCCTACTCAGAACCATCTATGAAAGAGTGAAAGCTTCCTCTATTGTCATATGAATGCTGAAAAATAAGTAAAAAAAACAAATTCATAATAATTAATGCCCATAATATTATTCCTATTTGACATAATATGAGAGAAATTATCTATAAACGCATGCAAATGCGTGCGAAGAATTTGATGCTATAATTAGATTTGAATTCCCAACAAAAGGCTTAATAGGCGAGCAGATTAGAGGTTATTTTGGGGTGGAGGTGGCAATGGAAGTACTACCGGCTAATTTTGATATTTTCTGAAAATATAGGTCTTGAGAGGTTCAGAACTCAAAATTACCCAAAAAACATGAGATACACTATTTTTTATAACAAACATTTCTTATTGAACAAAGTAACACATTGATGTATAATACAAGGTCATCACCATAAAAACTGAGTTGGGTTGCCTATGTTTTCCACACTCGCAAACTCCTTTTCTTCAATTAAAATTCATTTTCATAACTTTATAGCTTTACGATTTAGAGTTTATTTCTATCATATATTTATACATACATACACACACATATACATACATATATATATATATATATATTATATAAATCATCAAAGGT